CCTGGAGAAATGGTCATTGAAACAGTCCGCCTCAAAGTACAAAACACGCGATCAGCGTCGATATACGCAAATTGGAAAGGAATCAACRTGAGTTCAAGAYATTGAACTTTCAATCAAGTCAGATAGGGCACTAATRACGTTTTGTCTTGCAGCTTTCTTCGAGCCGTTGCGTAYAGAGAGTTTTCACAACTTGTTTATGGATTTCTTGGCTCCGAACGAATTCCATTRCCAGCYTGTRCATATCACAAAATAAGAGGTGCAYTCAGAACCGAAGAAGAGAAATTTGTGGGCTATGACGAACCAGGTCACGAGTAGTGTARAACKTGYGTAAACAAAARYTAGAAGTGTATATAAAAATGTATATTRATTGATCTTAGCRCAAGCTACTAATTATGCAAACTATCCATCCAGTTTGAATATAAACTAGTGGTTAGTTGTAAATAATACCACTGCAAATTTGCACATACAGACCAAAACAAAATGCTGTGAATTGTTGTTGTTTTTTCCCACAATTATATATATCCATACAATAGTGATACATTCATAATATACAAAACAAGTAAAATGACTATAAAATTCTATAAATCGAAGTAGAGTATGGCTAAAACATTTCGTCAAAAATATTTAGAAATATAAACAATAGTTCTAAACAATAGAACATCTTTTCTTTCATTTTCCATTTTATGTTGACTGCCCTCTGCCTGTTGATCTTCCTCTGGCCGCCGACCTTCCTCTTCCTGAAGTCCTTCCTCTGGCCGCCGACCTTCCTCTTCCTGAAGGTCTTCCTCTGGCTGCCGACCTTCCTCTTCCTGAAGATCTTCCTCTGGCTGCTGACCTTCCTCTGCCCGAAGGTCTTCCTCTGCCTTGTTGTACAACTACTTCTGCTTGATTTTCTAAAGAGATAAAGAATTTTATAGCAAGAAATTTAATAGAATGCAATAACCTTTCCACTATTAGATGTAGAACATAAAAAGAAAATCATGGATCTGTGCCCTAGTTTGTCACATGCTTTGCACTAGTAGTAAATATATTGAACAAAATTATAGGAAATAATCAATATACTGTAGTGGTTTACACTGGACTGTGAAACAATTACTATAGCTTACTAGACACCAATGAAATTAAATGAAATGGACCTTTTCCCTTTGTTGCAATATGACTTCTAGTTCAAGCTATCAAAACCTGAGTATCAGTAATTAATTTTTTCACACTCGGATGAAAACCACTCTCTAATACGAGTGCTTACACAATGTACAAGGAATACTATACAGAAAATAGGTTTCAGTACCTTGCGCAGTGCCAGGAACATCTACAACCACCATCTGCTTTCTGGCTTCACGCTTCTGAATGGCTTCTGCTCTATCCTGCTTGTTGAGCATTGTATTCATATGCTCGGGGGTCATTTCTTGCAGATACAAACATGCTTCTTCAAGTGTTTTATTGGCWATTGCTTCAATACATGTCTTATATATGTCTTCMACATAGCCTGAAATGTATTTTTRTTCACGGTTATTCACMAAAAAAATATTCATAGTTTATTGTATGMATAGCTATTCTGTTTATGCTATGTCTTATGTTTGCTGCCAATATTCATAAAGTATTTATGTACTAAGTAACCATAATACACAACAAAATAGCCAAGTAATAATAAAATAAATAAATGGTGGCATCATCAAACAACGGAGATTTTACATTGGCTTGCAGAGATACAGATTATATATTAGTGTGTTCTGTTGATAAAAATTGATTAGTGTGTTCTGTTGATATATACCACTTCTTTGCATGATAAATTTTCTGGTCTTTCACTGAATTTTTTTTAATAAAAAGGTATTGGTTTGATTAAGTGATATTGATTTTTACAACATCATGTATAAAGTAACAGCAACAACAACATTATCAAAACATATTGTTCAGCAGAAAATATTTTCCAGTTCCATTCTTACCAAACTCCTGCTTTACTTTTCGATTCCTYACAGTGGCTTCTCCGTTCTTGAATTTAGGGTAAACAACCACAATCTGCTCAGAACCGTCTGCTTTTTTCCYGCTTTCTCGGTTTAGATTGGTATTAAAGTGAATGGAAGCCAGAATATGCCTAAGGAAAAAATTAGTTATCAATTGATTGACATTAGTACTAACAACACTATTCTTCATGATGATCACTACCATCAAGCATTCATCCATTTCTTCATGTAACACTATTRAAATCATCCTCTATTTTCAGCAGTGATAACTGATACGTATATGAAATAATGTTCATGCTATAAATAYCATAATGATGTATCCATAACTGTACCTTATCAGCATTCCAGTGTGCGAGTAYGCTATCATTTTKGGGGCAAAATGATTTACCACTGARTGGAAGCCTTCCAGGCAGCTGGTTTGAGATATAGGYGATGCCTGTTGAATCCCACTAACCAATGATGGCTTTGTCAACTCTGTACAAACTTTTTCATAAACCATGGAATCTAGGAATAAAATATCACATCTACCAAATAACTACCTCAAGAATTCGGGTATTTGATCAGACGAATGTCAATAATTACAAATGTTTGTTGTTTTCAGTTGAAGTTAATTGTATTTACATGTACAGAAGTAAGAATTTGGTCAAACAGCCACAATTATTGAACTGATGAGAGAGCAATTATACACTGTAGTCTTGAAACAGGCATGCATTTACAAAAACAATATGTGTGAGTTTCATTCYATTTTGGGTTGGTGTACTTATTTTGTGGGATATTGAATGTGCAATAATTTTAATTTTGTAATATTTTTTTTATATGAAATGAATAAATATTTGATAAGAGCACTAACCACGCAATAGCCACTGTCTTGGTTCAATTTCTCCGTGATGACATTAATTGAACATGGGGTCATCCAAACGTTCATGTTTATCAATGATGTGACTCAGAAATGACTTGAATTTAGCCCACATGAGCTTCCCACCCCCAGTTATTGCCGAGGTCACACTCCAGTATAAGTGGTTTTGGCAAGGGTGTATCCATGGCTTGAGGGATCCACAGCCACTTAGCTTCGAAATCTTTGTAAGAACTTTGCCAATTTCTAGGAGAAATACATATGATTAGTGCATTGTTGCTGTATACACCAACATGCATGTGTCACTGAGATACACTATATGTCAATCCGGATTGAAAGACAACAGTTTTGCTGGGACATTGTAAAAGTATGCACTACCAAGAAAATAACCACATGTATGAAGATTTCAAGTGCTATGATGCTGTCCACCTACTTTTTTGTATATGGCATAGATCAAAATAGTGCTTGATGATTGGGAGTCTCTCCCTCATGTGCTTGGCAATCGATGTATGTCTATCTGTTTTGAGGACACGAATTGGCATTCCGACACCCAAAAGGAATTGCATGCACTGTTGGAATCCATGGTACTCCATGCCAGTGCTATTGCCAACCTCATTTCTCTGTGGAGAAGAGTATGGCATTTCATACATTAAAAATACTGTATAAAAATGACAATTGGAAACAATCATTGGTACAATCATAGTCAAATAATAAGTTTCACATATTCCAACACGAACACTTTTCATTAGTAAGGGGTAAAAATCATACCTGTACAAGGGCAAAGTGAATAATAGCAGGTGTACAACA